GCTGGGAACTATACAGTTTTCGGCTCTTTGCCGACTTTCCATAATTGGCACCCCCCCCCCCCCCCCCCCTGTGGGAAGATTCTGGGCAAGCAGCTCGCCCAGAAAGTTCCCACGGTTGTGGCTGTGATGGTTTCTGGGCGAGTAACTCGCCCAGAACGTTCCCACAGTCTGCATGCATGCAGGATTGTGGAATAGTGAAGGGAAAAATAGGAGAAAATAGGGGAAGGGTACCTGAGGGTGTGTGGGGTCAGGGGCTGTGCCCTGACACATTATTAGAAGCTCTTTTTTCCCTACCACCTTACTTCACAATGAAAGCCTGACTGCTTTCGTCACAAAAGCCTAATCACTTTGCGTTAATTCTTACCCAAGAGCCTGACCGCTTTGCTTTACTCCCCTTTGAACCCCTTTTGTTCTAACTTCATTGGTGATGACCGACATTGAAAGGCCTAACCACCTTTCACCTTTAACTTACAGTAATGCCACTACTGGTTGCCCCGAGGCCTAATTGCCTTGAATTTCTTTATGTTTCTCTTGAATCTCTTGGACCGTTTTTTACATTTTGGTACACGCCTTCCTGTTGCGATATTAATATCGCAAGGGAGGAGAGCGTAAGGAAGGGAGGCTGCTTATGCACCCCCTCCTAACTCTTTTACTTTGTCTTACTCTTGTTATCACTTGTAACATAGTCTATTATAATCAGTTTGTAACTTCGCGCAACAGCGCTACATTATTGTATATACTCGGAGACCCTGCAAGCCACATAGGCTGCATGTGCTCTTCCCCCCCATGTATATAAACATTGCATGCGGGCAAGTCAAGGCTTTACAGCCTTTACTCCCCGTTGATTATACAGCCTATTATAGCGTATCTCTGACGGACTGGGAGTGTGAGGCAATACTCACAACCACTATCATCTTATCATCTTACAGTGTAGGGGCGTTTGAAATCTTTCTTTGTAAGTCCCAAAAACTCCCCGCTTTCCAAAAAGACCAAACCCCCCGCAAGTGGACGCCCTAGGAGATCATTGATGACAGAACCAGTAACTTAGGCATGAACGTGAGCACGTCAAGTGTGGAACATTCATGTGATGGGGACATAGATGTACGAATCAAGGATGTGATGAAAAAAGGAATCAGCCGAAGGGCGCCAGCCCGCCTGCAATGCAGCTCATCGGTCAAGGAGGAGTGAGATAAATGAGCGTCAGCAATACCGATAATTGATGCACAACGAATAGAGATAGGATAGCGCGCGATGACCATGAAGCGATGGAATCGACATTGGATCAGAAAGGTATGTCTGTGTGTGAATAGGGGATTTAAAAGATGAGGTAAGATACAGGTATGCTGCATAGGCATATAAAAGGGCAGGTCAGAAGAAGGGGAATGCACAGAGGGAGTAAGTAGTGACATAAGTAGCTGCCTTCAAACATCGATGAGGTAAGCTGGAAGGGCCAATCAGAGCGGTTCGAAACCTGGCTTCGGGGTGAACCGAGCCAATCAGATCTCGTAGATGACCCTCGGCGATTATTTATTAGTTAGATATACTATTAAGGAATCTCTCTTAGCGCGGCGTTCCAAATGGGGCAACCCGCTCCCCAGCAGACGCAAGAGGGAACTGAAAAACATAAGATTTTTGGTCCGTGCGTATTGATACGCATGCAAAGAATGAAAATCTACGTGAGGGAACTCCTAGCTGTGTGCTTAGTCACAATCGGCACAGAGGGAATTAGTGATGCGTAAAAGATCATCTTAACCATTGTATAATACACTCATTTTTAACATGATTAAAACTGTGTTTTACAATGTGGTCCATTGCATTTTACCAGGATTCCTTTACCACGTTAAAGGAGGTAGATGACCTGTTTTTTAATGATTCTCCACCACGATAACGATTGTAAACGGTCAATTTACAAGGGTGCATTTTGTAATTTACCAGTCGGATTTCATCATTTACAATATTGTTAATTTGGTGAAAAACGTGGTTATTTACAACTACATTTATGGCGATATACAGCGGAGACTCTAGGTTACGTTGCAATGAATAGCAGTCATTGCAAGTGAGGAAATGAACCGAGTTGAGGTGAGCAAAAGACAGAAAGGTCAATTCGAGGAGTGACGAAGAAGACCCGATCCGGAAAGCATAACGCAGGATTGAAGCCTTGGGCTCACGAGAAAAGTACGGAGTTGAGTGCGAGCAAGAGACGGGTAGCATAAAAGTCGAGCATCAATTCGATTTTGATGAGGTTGATTTGACAGAGCATAACCTAATGAAAGTGGAGGAAGTCTCGGGCTGTGAATAAGACGGTAGAAGATACCATAAGTGAACTTCAACCCTTCCGCACAACTTCGCGAGGCAGTCTTTCCTTCTGAGTGGGCCAGGTTAATCGATTCAGACTTTCTTCTGTTGTGGGGCCATCATAGTGACGGCCACGGGGGTTCTTTTTTGGCAGTACTAGTAGAGGTGGTTGTCATCGGGCCTTGGTCATTATCATCGCTTTCGAATTCCAGTCGCGTTTTTTGGTTACTAGCACAGGGGGAAATTAGCAAGGCAGCAGTGGGGGAAGAGGTAGTTGGGAGATAAACTAATGAGCGTACATGGGGCCAAACTACGCCCTAAGCAGATGCACGAGCTTTTCTACCACAGGTGTGACCCTTGGGTAACATAGATTCCTGTTTGCTGTGAGAGGCTTGACGATTTTCTAAAATAAATAAATAAATAAATGCTATTTCTCATTCACCAATGAGTTAAAGACGCGTAAAGACGCGTTGAAACACGTCCAGATGGAAGCCATTCATGGCATCGCTGTCAGTGAGGCAGCATGCCCAGTGTCCATATTCATAAGTACTTGCCACTTCTGAAAAGAGTAGCTAGTTGCATAGCGAAAGGATAGTCAAATTGGGAGGAAATGAGCAGGTTGCAGAACGTGTATGGTATGGTGGAGAGGATAAGGCACTGAGTGGAATGGAAACTGCCGAGAACAACTTAGTCCGATTTCAGTCTAAGCGCCACAGTCTCTGCCCACCTACCCTTACATCTTTAAGTGCCAGCTTCCATACTTGGGGCTCCTCGCGACAAGAAACATTCCTGACAATTCCACCCATCGCAAAGTCGCGATCTAGTTTACTAATGTCTACAACAAGCCGTACCAACATATAATCGAGCTCTTGGTTATGCCTTGCTAGGGAAATCATGCATTGTCGGGGGAGGTGACAAAGTTTCCACAATGTGGGCCCAAAAACAACGAATTGAATTTAGGGACTTATCCTTCGTCTGGGTAGGAGTGTTTGAATTTCATGGCTCTCACTATTGAGCTGAAGTAGCTGTGGACTCAAATCCCCGAGCATGTCACAAAACGTCGCTTGTGAGAACATGCGTCACCTCGTTGACCTTGTCTCAGATAGCGGTGCTTACATGGATGCTGCCTTGGCACCGACCTCTTTTACTACACTCAAATTATCGCTCTCGCTTCGGTCTCTTCAGTATGTGGCCGATTTCCCTATGGTACGTACGCATTCCCGTCGTTGGGCCATCATCGATCGCAGTTGCAAGCTCGCAAGGTCAATCGACGACGATGACTAACCGAACTCCGGCCGTCCATACCTCTGACCTTTGTACAATACATCGCAGCTCGAATACCATGAATTGAGTGGTAATTTATGCAGGGAAGAGTCTGGTATTTAGCATCGTGAAACGTATATTGTAATTTACAATGAAAAAAAATATCACGAAAACAATGGTAAATGGTCAAAAACCAGACCAAAAATGGTTTTTTACGGCCATTTACTTCCCACAGTGTCGGGGACTGCCACATCCAGCACGACGTACGTTCCGGATAAGTAACCCGCATCCCAACAATTCCCGATGAACGCTGAAGCTCGACCAGTGCAATAGAGTAAACAGACTTACTACGGGCTGTTACCCATGCCGGCAAATGATGAGTACCTAACTGAATCGAATACTTAAATCTTAATAACATTACCCACAACCAACCAACCTAAGTAGTAGAATTCAGTCTGCCTTCCGTCAAGGCGCTAAATAAAGTCGAGAAGAGTTGCTTGCATAAAGTGCGTTGTACTAGCAATTTAGAGATAAAGGATTTTTGAACCCAGAAAAAAAAGCTAATGTGCATGAGAATTTTTTGTTTTTGGAAGGCTGGGGCCGGGAAAGATCTCGAGTGGACAGAATCGAGAAAGAAAAGTTCAGACTACTGTCCGTCTAAATCTGTAGTGATACGAGAGATCACAAAGACGAAAATATTATAAACATGCATGAAGCCTAATACTAATATAGTGAACAAAATAAATAAGGTCAACACGAAAGAATTCGATATTATTGTTTCTGTGTATTGGTGTGTGTGTGTGTGCGCGCTATATCGCTCTCCTCCATTAGGATTCCAGCCTTCCCAGTGATGCCTAGTGTCGGTGGTGTGGGTAGTTGGGGCAGGGGGGAGCCAGACGTTTCCAACCGTGCGAATCCACAAGGAGAGAAGGGATATGACAAACGAGGACAATGGATGAGTGGATGAGAGACGTAGAGGGGGGGAAGCGAGACTTGCAGCAGGAGTGCCAAGACGAAGGATGTGAAGATGTTTACTAACTGATACCGAAATTGAAGAAATGATAAGAAATGAGAGGGAGAAAATAGAAATGCATCCTCTCCATTGAGGGTAAGTGAGCTCTATAAGCGGGGATTCGAAAAAGAAAAGCGGGATACGAAAAGTCGAGTAACGGAAAGATCACGCGCAACTTCGAAAGATGATCGAAACTCAAGACGGATTAAAAAGCGAGAGATGGGAAAAATGAAGAAGAAGCCAGCATGCGAGGACGAGTGACGAGCGTGGGGGGCTTGGGCCTAATCGATCGCAAGCCAAACCAGAATTCACAAGCGAAAAGGGTAGTCTGAGGGAGAGAGAGAGGGGGGGGGGGGTTTTCCCCACCCAAAGAGAATCATCCTTCACAATCACTCTGATCCCCTTCAAACCCAAAACACCCAAACGACTCCTAATCATCGTCGCTCCAGACTTGAAAAGTTGGCCTCGACGACCTCTCCATAAGAACGGGAACCTCCTTCATCACCGTGTCCCTTCCGACATTCGCCACGGACGATCTGGAGGGACTAACAGTCACCATTCCCAACCCTAACGAAACGCGCCTGGCCCTACCGAACAACACTTCATCATCCTCATCCTCCTCCCCTCCAACGCCAACGTCAACGCCACCACCCCTACGGTCAAGACGACGAAGGCCAAATCTCCCACCAGGAAAACCAGCACCAGCACCAGCACCATCATCATCATCATCGCCGTCTCCGTCATCATCGTCGTCGGCGTCAAACCCACTCCCTTTTCCCGAAACCATGCCACTCGAACCAGAAGGGCTCGAACCAAGGGATGAAGAACAGGAAGAAGGGAAACCCACTGGTCCTGGCAGTCCCAGTGGTCCCCCTTCAACCGACGACCCCCCGACAACGACGTCGAAGAGTAGAACATAGTATCCTGTGGTTGCTGCTGCTGTCGGTGGTAGTGCTGGTTTGGCAATGGGCGTCAACTTGAAACCAGATTCTTCGTTCGCCGCTCTCGCATCCATTCCCACTGAAGGCGGCGTTCTGTCTGCCACACGATGATTGGAATATCCAACATCAAAATGATCCGCATCACCACCACCACCGCCACCAACAATACCGAGGCTAAACGACCCACCACTGACCTCGGATCGAGGAGACGAAGAAAATGTGGACGAGATGGGAGAAGGTAACTGTCTCTGCGGCTGCGTTACCTGTTGCGGTCTCAGCATCATCGCATTCTGGAACGAC